AATAGTCATCTGCGAGAAATTGTCGCTATTGTATTGTACAAAGAGGCGGGGAGTAACCTATTAACGACTACAATTCAACTTTCCCACAGCCGACGGGATGGGATAAGTGACAGAGATGTAATACCTAGGTGGATCAGCGAGGAAAAGCAACATGCCGAGGTCCACTGGACTTAGAAGGGAGAGTTGCGCCGGCAATTTTGCCCAACGTTTTGCCGGCCGTAATCCCCTCTGTTCTAACTTAAAGAGTTCCGTATCCTGTCGATACATGGAAACTACTTGTAATTGGATCTCTTCATTGGTTGGTATTACCTTTTTAAAACGGATTAAATACAACCGTTACCCGATATACCTAGGCAACATAATAATTAGGGCATAAAACATGACGTGATGCAGAACCAGGATAGAAACTAAACCCGAAATTTGACTACGTACCTAGGTACTTATCTAAGTCTATTGAAGACCGGGTTTCGCTCGCTATTTCGAACCCCGTTAAGCTTCTAAATAGATTCAACATTGAAGTTGCAGACTGGGCACCTACATATTAAATATGTAATTACCTAGGTGTTGCATTACTATCATCACTCTCAAGACGGTACGCGTACAGACAGACTATTACTATATAAGTATATTCATATCATATGTTCTATAAGAAGCATCTATTACGCCAACTCAATCTATCATGAGTTTCAGTTATCCTCGGTCTATAATGCAATATACATGCAAGTCTGGGATCTATCCCGACCTCGTTGCTTCCAAATGACAGACTAGTATGCATTTAGAACTAGCCTCATAACTGCACCCACGCGTAGTGGTAGGGTAACTAGCTACTCGGCGTCTCCTTACCACGAAGATAAGGATTGTCCACGATGCAAATCACACATACGAAGCTCGGGGTAGGTCGGTGTGGCATTTTACGGTGAGGAAGGCTTGTGAGGAAGCTCATGTTACTTTGCCGACCTAGAAACTCCTCTCTATGGGACGAAACTGATTCCGTGAGAACCCTCCAACCATTACCAGATGTGCCCGGTCGTAGTGGCAGACGCAGGAAAAAAGCAAACCAGCTAATAAATATAGCCTACCTTTAGTAGAGGTCGCTCTTGGCCTCATGCATTCCATATTAAAACGAGAGACGATTAAAACCGAGCTTCGAAGCTCGGATCCAAAAGAATTCCCCCCAGTCAGGAAATGCGTCATCAGCATAATCATGCTTGCAAAGGATCCGTTCGGTAGCGAAATGCAGCCCATCAGACTCGTCCCATGCGTCCTAAGACCGTCTCGCAGTGGTGACCATTACACGGTCGGCGAGGCCCTTGGTGGTAGGATAGCTTCCATCGTACTTCGAATCCCGCGACTGCTTAGTCATACTGAAACAGAACGCTGATGGATTCACCGTGATGGATGCGACGGATGGCCTCAGCGAATATCGGTGCAACATCCAATACTTCGAGCTTGGGGCACATTCTCTTGTGCTCGTCCTGAGGAACCGAATTGGTCACTATGACTTTGTCTAGGGCTGAGGCATTGATTCGGGCAATGGCGTCACCACTTAGTACAGCGTGAGTCAGGAGCGCATATACAGCTGTTGCTCCCTCTTTCCGCACGAGCTTCGCAGCACGCGTGATGGTGTTGGCAGTGTCGGCCAAATCATCAACCAAGACACAGACTCGGTTGGCAACATTGCCAACCAGCATCATCGTCGCGTTTTGTCGATCCGTGATACGCGTTGGTCGTCGTTCCTAGTTTGGGCGAATGAGTTTGAAGACATTTACGGAACACATTTGTCTTACCTTATGGATGAGGGCAAAATCCATGCCCAAGCTATCGGCGATAGCAGTGGCTCGCTTCGCACCCCCAGCATCCGGACTTACAATCACAGCTTCTCTATAGTCGGGAATGTTCTGCTGGATATACCGTTTAAGCAAAGGACGCCCGTATAGGTTATCCATCGGAATGTCAAAGAAGCCTTGATATTGGGGATCATGAAGATCCAGAGCAACAACGCTGCGACTCTGGTTAGCTAACATCCTCATAGAAACTATCCCATGGATAGAGTCGTTAGGAAGCTTCAAGACAGGGACCACAAAGTAGACATAACAAATCATTCCTTAAGCTAGGGAGACACATACTGGTCTGCACCGGCACAGGTCAAGAGATCTGCCACCAGGGTTCCAGCCTGCGCAACCCATCTCTTATATCCTGGTTTGGCTTCGAAGGTGGAAATGAGACCGGGGTTCTCGTAATCGTGGGTAGTATAACTTCCCGCGCGTGAATGGGTCTGCTGGTACAGAGCCGGATGTGTGTCACCGTTAGTGCTTCCATTGGTACTTCCGTTGGTATGCCCGTTGCCGTTGATGTAGTTCTCGCTGTTGGTACGAGTAAGGCCATTTCCAATTCCGTTAGTAAGGGAAGACTTGCTCATCACCCTGGCTAGGTCGGTTTCTTTGTTGAAACCCGCGCTCTTAACGACACCGGACCCGGGTGTTGCTGGGACACTTTCGAATGTGTACTTGTCTTTTGGGACCTCGGCCGGTGGCCTCGACAACGGTGCCCCAATTTTATTGTAAGGTAGATCTGGCTGTCGGGAGTAGGGGAACAATGGAAGTACGGCTGTGACACGCTTGGCCGAGCCCGTTTTGCAGGCAGATATCACTGTTTGCTATGGTCAGCCCCAGCAATACAAAGACACCTGCAAGATCTTTTTAGTGGTGCGTACTGATACAAAGCTCTATCAGGTGGTCATTAATGGAGCCACCTCCGGACTGGATGATGAAAACATCCTTGCCTCGTACCGAGTCCTGAATCTCGCAACGGGTCTCCCCGACAGAGAATTTGCTCAATATACGGTTTCCACTGGGGACTCCAAGCATATTGCACACAGACTCCGCGAGGGACGGGTGAGAGTTCCCGGAGAGGATGACGATGTTTCTAACCATCTTGGCGAACTGCTGCAGGAACGAAAGGCGGTGTCGAAAGGAAAAGTTTCTCTTTCACCAGATACAAGATGCACACTCGCACAACTAGTCTTCCGAAGAAATGCAGAAGAGTAGCGTAGCTCGCGGTGTATTGTAGTGATTGTGAGAATCTGTAGTTCTTGATGAAGAATTCTTTTTCTTCAGGGTTTGTTGCTGCAGAAAAATTCCTAATTGCTCCGATTGCGGGTACCTAGGCAGGTCAAATATGCCGACGTCAGAATGTTGAGCTGTTAAGCCGCAAAACTTGGGCCGGGCATTGACAGGTCACAAGACCAAGAAAGAAAGCGAGACGAGTACAGGTCTCAAGCTGAAGCGGATGTTAAACAGCTGCTCAAAGAGACCTTATGATGAACCCTAGAGAAGATCCATGGCGAAAGGACAGAATAACGAAATTTGTACGAAAATTGTGCGTAATTTGGTTTAAAAAAATATTGGTTCAAGTTTGGTTGATGGCTGCACGACAGGAGAAAGAAGATTGGAGGGAACTTTGGGTTTCTTCCAATTCCAATTGACCCGCGGGGCTTTCTCACCTGCAAAAACCTTGGAAGAGGAAAAGCGAAAAAAGGGCCAAAGAGAGAAAATTCTGCCGGTTTAGCTAACCTTGCGGGTAAGGTTACGCAAAATGGATCTCAGCGAGGTTTATCAGCAATTGTTAGTGGATGATTCCTCGCCCCAGGTGGTGGCAATCGCCGCGAACTAACGTTAAGAACCACCTGCTGCAACCACACTTGTAACCACTAAGCTTTAGGTTTGTGAGCCTCTGACCCAAGAACGACCCTTGGTTATGCCTCATAGGCCTGTAAGTGGCCGTAGTCCTGTGGGGGGCGTTACCGCCTTCTCACTTTATTTAGAACTTTATTCTCATTGGCCAAATACCTCCTAAAATTGCCGACTTTACGCGATACATGCTTCCGCTTGTCTTATTCACTGCTACCTAGGTATTCACCTACCTAAATCCTAGGTCGTCATCCAAGCTAAAAGCACAGAATGAAGCGTTCGATGAAACTGTTTCAATTTGTAAACTTATTGATTCCTTCAGGAATCTTATACTACTGAGGGGGTAGGGTCAATCATTTATCAGATACCTTCTTTTGCCAGAAGTTCTAGACTATTAAATCTAATCGAGTTAAATGGCTTGACCTGAATGCGCAGCCCATGGCATTTTTATCCCAACACTTCTCTGTCATCACTTATGCTTAACATGAGGATCTATGATATCTACGTACTTGTGTACCTAGTATTAATTTTGCATCTTGTGTTATTTGTGAGTAAACACCGATTGTACGGATCCGTAAATCTTATTGGGTAATTCCTTTATTCTCACGGATCGTTAACGTTAAGACAGGTGCATTAAGAACATATTACTCTTTGGAGATACAACATTGACAAATCAAAATTTGCTCGCGTCGTTTATTTCCTGCGCCAACATCTAACAGGCAAAACTATCAAAAGTCACAATATCTTTTATATTCAAGCTTACCGCATGCACTTGTACAAATATCATAGCGTAACTGGTTGGCTGGCTAGGACCAGATCCAAGACCTATCAACTCAGATTTAACAGGCTTAGTAACAAGCGAAAATTCAGGTTACTGTAGCTGTATCTTCAAACATCCAATCTGAAAGGGTTATTTGCTGCGTAGGCATTAAGAAATGACAATGTGTTATACCCCTTTTTGATAGAAAAGCGGTGCAATCTCGATCGTGAATTACTATCTTTACAACCATATGAAGAGACTTTGATTGAACGTCTACTATGATGAACATTTGAGAATAATGGATTTCATACCCACGAAACTGGCAAGAGATTTCTAATAGTCCTGGCAAATAAGGTCTTTACCAACATCTCGTCATGCCATTTTGAGTACAATACGAACAGTACGGAGGCGTGATAGTGGCAGCATGGTACCCACTTTCTAAACTGTCTTGCCAATAAAAAGGCAGGAACAATCGGCACAACATCGGAGTCCCGAACCTTCCCCGTGTGCACTACCGATATAATGTCAAAATCTTTGACCGAATCCCATCAGCCCGGTTAGCTCAATCGGTAGAGGTCAGTCAATTTATCATATTCAGAATCTTCGTCACAGTATATTAACATTTCTGTAGCGTGAGACTCTTAATCTCAAGGTTGCGGGTTCGACCCCCGCATCGGGCTCAATTCCCGATGCATCTCGTATTTAGAGATACCTCGAACCACATTTTTTTGTGCTCTTTTTTTTTCTTTCTACCTTTTTATACTCTGTTTCTGGTTTCGTCCTGTCTCAGAATAGGAACGAATCTAGTAATGTCACGTGATGAAAATGAAAATCAGATTTGGCTGGCGGCTCGCCTCGGCAATTCTGTGCAACCTATGTTTTCTACTGAAGCCGAAGTTGAAGCTAGAAAGCTCCATAGTCACATTGAGACAACGAAACAGAAGGTCTATTTCAACTATTCTTGTCCCTATTGCCTAATACTAGATAGTACCTAGGGGTGTATGTTTCGTAATCAACTAGATTTCTCATGACCTGCCGTTGCAACCTCTAATATCTCTTTTTCAAGTCCAGCAACATGAACAAACTCAATACCAGCATCCTTCAACTTCCGCTTGCTAGAATTGTCACTGATGAACTTTTCTGGCTCCTGAACTCCAACGTAGACGGTCTTGATCTTGCTCCCTATAGCTAATATCCTGTCGACGCACGGTATGTTTCCGCTCAGTCTTTGCGAACATGGCTCAACTGTAGTGTAAAGTGCGACTGCGTTTGAGAGTACTTCATCTAGGCGGTTTGCTGGGATACTATATTTCTCTGCGAGCTTCTCAAAACAGCATTGCTCCGCATGAGTGTTTCCCGGAAGCTCCAATGTGTAGCCAGTTGCTAATATCTCATTTGTAGTTGCATCTACCACGACAGCTCCGACTCGGTAATTGGTAGGCTTCGGTGGGGATTTAGTGGCTAAAGAAAGGGAAAGTTTCATGTACGACTGATGGTCTCCTGCCTCTATGTCTTCATCGAGTTCAAGAGTCTTTTCGGTCATTTTCCAATGAGAAGTCAACAGATTATGATGAGGTGAAATTGGTAGAGGGGCCGTGATCGACTGTTGATTTGCGCTTGCCAAGTAACTCTAGTACGTGCATATGTGCGGATCCACACTGCCTAGGTACCCCGCTAAATCAATTTATTGGCGGGGTCTTATCGATAAACCACGTAGATAAGAATGGAAACGCGTGTAACGCGATCTTGGTACTTCTAGAAAGTTGTCATTAAACTCATCAAATCAGTTTTCTATGTTCATACACCATACCACTTCCTTAGCCACTCATAAAACTCTATTCACCATGGATAATTCAGATGATCTCCTTGAGGGAGAGCCGCCTATAATTAACCCTTACGAGGTTCTGGGTCTGGAGCGCAAGGCAGATCAGGGCCAAATTAAATCAGCTTATCGAAAGCTTGCCCTGAAAAACCATCCAGGTGAGCTCTAGGCTACAGAGAATATTGAAATTTCTTCTCGCATGCTAACACGTAACCTTCATAGACAAGGTCGCTGAGGACCAGAAGCAAGAAGCCCATGAAACATTTCAATCCATAGCCTTCGCATACGCTGTCCTATCCGACCCGACCCGACGTAAACGCTACGATAAGACAGGCTCGACCTCTGAGTCTATCGTTGATTCGGACGGCTTCAGCTGGACAGATTTCTACCGCGAACAATACCGCGATACGGTTACTTCTGATGCGATTGAGAAGTTTGCCAAAGAATACAAGGGGTCTGAGGAAGAAAGTGATGACCTCTTAATCGCGTATGAAGAGTTTGAAGGCAATATGGACAATATTTACGAGTCGGTAATGCTTAGCAACGTCCTCGAAGATGACGAACGATTCCGCGCCATAATTGACGAGGCAATTGCTAAGGGTTATGTTCACGAATACGAGACCTACACGCGCGAAAGTAAGAAGTCCAAGAAAGCCCGAATCAAGGCTGCGCAAAATGAGAGCAATGAGGCCGAGGTGTATGCTAAGGAATTAGGGGTGCATGAGAAGTTGTTCGGCAGCAGAGACAAGAAAGGCGGCAAGGGAAAGAGTAAGAAGGGATCATCTGAGGACGACCTAGCGGCACTTATCCGCAGTAACCAGCAAAACCGAGGCAATTTCCTTGACAATCTAGCGGCGAAGTACGGCGCAGCACCGAGCTCGAAGAAGGGCAAGAAGCGCGCGATCCCGGAAGAGGAGCCTTCGGAAGAAGCCTTCCAAGCTGCCGCTGCAAGACTTAAGAAGGGGAGGAAGAAGTGATGTCATTGACGGTCTTTGACTCTTGCTAGTACCTAGTTGATTTTCTCTCACGGCGTTTATGGTGTTAAGGCAAATAATGGATCATCGGGATAGGTACCACATACCACATTGATGTTTGGGTCAGAAGTCTGACCCGCATCGTTTATTACTGGCTACCTCAATGAACATTACATTTATTATTATTATAAACAGTCTTCTAAACCACAAAACCTTGTATGTTGCCATCCGATCAAGATGGACAAATATTTAAAAGTACACAAATATTACAGGTAGTTGCTGCTTCTAACGTTCAACGTTGCTAGGCTGACTGACAGATATAAATAAGTGGGGGCTCGCCTTAGCGGTAAGCTTAAAGCTTTTTAAGGTTCCAGTTGCGCGTCCAGGTACAGGTGTCGCGTTGATATTATCTTGCGACCAATGTCAACTTCAACTTTCTAAGACAACACGTTAGACTTGCCAGCATTGCTTTTTAGCAATCGATTACCAAGATGCGATGACAAGTGCGGAATCACTTGTGTACTATCCCGCGTATTGCTTTCATCTGTCCCCGACGATAAACAAATGGTGTCCGCTGCGCGCTATCGACATCCATGGTCTTGAAAGTCGGCCTGGGTTTGAAGGTAACTCCCCACTCACCTGTGCAAAGATACCGTTTTGGATATGATTTGGAGCTTACCATGTCGAAGGCGACAATGTATTTTTCTCCCTGAACCACCCTATCCGGTGGGTTAGAATACTTGGGGTCGTGGTTGCGATCGACGAGTTATATGGCCGACGAGTCTACACGGTTGACGACAGTACCGGCCGGTGCATCGAGTGTTCTGTTGATATCCCGAAGCCGAAGGACACTCATCGTCAAAATGGTGTAGGCTGCGAAACGACTGCAGCCGTTCCCGCTCCCGCTCCGGATCCCAATACGGGTCTTGATGTCGGCATGGTCGTCGAGGTAAAGGGCAGCACGAAGCTCTTCAGAGATCAAAAACAGATCAAGGTACAAAAATTGCAGAGGATCAGGTCTACAACCCAGGAGGTCCAATTCTGGGACAAGATTCGCGACTTTCGAAAGGACGTCCTCAGCCGACCTTGGGTGCTAGAGAGGAAAGAGGTACGCCGATGTAAGAAGCAACATATGGCTGACGTGGATGCCGAGGAGACGAAGGCAAAGCAGAAGAGGAAGAAGCTGAGGGAAAATGGGTATATCCTTGACAGGGGTGTCCGGAGTAAAGAGCCCAAACCCAAGAGCGAAGAGGCAAGCCAGCCTACGAAACAGAAATCTTTGGCTGAGACGGGAGTCAGAGATTCGTACACTGCGGGACAATATGATGCGCTGGGGTTATAGAGATATACACCATACTTTACGCTTTGCTGTGTATCTTTGTTAAGGATGACATGTTCCTGCTCGTTACAGACGTGTTTTCCATGAGATGATGTTTGGGTAGGCAGCTGATAAGTATTACTAGAGCTGCCGCGGTAGATACCGTAATGTCTTCCGTTCATCACCTAAATACAAATGCTGAAACATGAACTTGTGAGTGTCTTCCATGACAGGTACGGATCTCTTTTCGATACCTTAAGTACACAGGGACCTACTAGGTACGTAGTAGGGTATTGGAGAGAGCTTGGCAATATTGAAATAACTTCTCTGATTGGAAAAGTGGATACACTTAGCTTTAGCTCTACATAGGATAGACTTGACAACCTTCTTCCCATGCAAGAGCTTCTCACAAAATACGCTTCTCCTTCGGATATATACATGTACCTAGCAACTTCCGAAGTCGAGTTTCAGGAGAACTGTTCTTTCCAGCTCTTTCTCTTCTTTAATGGAGGAAGTCACAAATTTATTTTCTATGGTTTGTGTCATGTGTTCATAGAATCTAGCCTAAGTTGTTGTTATCTGACGCGGCCCTCATATTTCATCATAACAACACCTCTGTCTTTTAACAGCTCCTATAAGCCTAGAACCATTATCTAAGACCGAGAAATATATCTTTACCCTTCCACTTTCAATATTCCTGTACCGTATAATTTTGGGTTCATCTCGTCCTCCAGTTACGGCATTTCTCAGCTCTCAGCTCTCATTCCAGTGACTCTTCTAGACTCCTTCGTTTGCTCGAGCTTGTCACATAGGTAGGACTTTTCGACCCCTTTTCAAGACAATACATTCTTCATGACATGGACCCTACATGTCACCCGACGTTGACAAGCCTGACTCAACCGTCGTCTGGTACACCGATGCCATTCCTTGATGTCTACTCGAGTCATCCAACATGTCACTTAAGAACATGTCCAACCCGCCCACTACTTGTAGGCCCGGGTTGTTGGACTTGAGACATCGAACTTGAACCTGTCTATCAATGAAATAGAATTATGAATACTTTTGCTATTTAATGCCTCTTCACGAAATTACGATATCACGATACCGAGAACATCCTGTGCTGGTCGCTGTTGAGAGCCCTCTTGATAAAGCCTCAAAATAAAATTACTAAAAACCCTTTCTCCATGGCCCCTATTCATTTGTCTGGATTTATCATGCAATCGTACTGGATGCTGACATTACTCCAGGTCTCCCCAAGCCTGGGAATTCGACTTTGGCCTCCAGATAACGGGATCCAGGCATATCGACAAGACAAACTCGCCGGACGAGTTTCTTTACGAGAGATCTACTCTCCTATTTCGACAACCCAGGATCCTCACCGTGAAGGTTACCAACCTGTCTCGACTATTACAAATCCCACATCTTCAGCCGTTTCACAGGTCTCTTCTTCACCCTCTAGTTTAGAACCGGATGTGAATTGCACAACAGGTGAGACACCACTTCAACCAAGTCCAGTACCAAGCCCAACTCTTGTCGTCATGCCATCTGGACCTGAGGCGGACCAGT